TGATTATTTTTATAAAATGTAAGCAAATACTATTTCTGGTTTCTGTCTTCTTGCACTGTGACAGCTTCTTGAAATCTAAACATATGGATTTATTCAAATATTAGTCACTCTCACTGCTTCCTAAACAAAGAGAAGGAAGCTTATTAATTCTTTTCTGCCATAGATTCTTGATACAGAGGGATAGCAGATTCACAACTCTTAGTTTAATTCTTCTTTTCTTCTTTCATTCCAAAGGCAACTCTGTGAACCTGCACTTTTGTCATCATATGAGGGAATACCTAACACAGTTCCTTTTTAAATTTAATGTAGAGGTTAATTTCTGAAGCAACAATTGTTTGTCTCTTCAAATATCCCACCTTCCCACCTTTTGTCTCCTTCCTTGCATTCCTAAATTCTAATGGCACCTGATAGAAGATGATTAAGGAAGAAACAGTAACAATGAAATCAAACTAGTAATGAAATTTCTGTTCATGTGTTCTAGTCATTTTTATGCATTAGAAACCCAAGATTATTTCTTTCCTAAGTGATCCAGCACATCCATTCTTTCTTCTTGAGGAGTAACATAGACACAACTACCCTTTTCCAATCATCTCTGCAGGGCAGGACAAATAATGTGGGAGTGAAACTAGAAAACATTAATTTCTACATCTTAAGAAAAGCAGAGTTTCCTCGATAAGGGACCAGAATGATAGAGAGAGACTCCTTAAACCAATTGCTTTGGGGCATTTGCTAGAGTAGCAGTTAGTATAGTAGGACTGAAAGAGATTAGTGGAGGATGAGTCATGAAATATGCTACAGAATGAAAGAAAGAGAGAAGGCAGAAGGGAACAGAAAGGAATAAGTAAGAAAGATAAATAAATGATAGAGTTAAGAGTAGAAAAGTATGTTTTGGAGACTAAACTCGTGAACAAAAAAAAATTTCTGTAGACAGAGTAATCGTGACAAAAGGGTGTTAGTTGAGGAAATGCAGAAGCATCTGGAAAATTGTCGACCAGAGCAATTAACTGAAGGAATACAAACTATAGATAAATCTGAGACGATATACAGTCAAGATAGTTGAAGGGGAAAAAAACCAAAATAATATTTACTTTTGAAGTATTTCAGTAAAGTAGGCTTGGGGCCATTTCTGTATTTAGTTGGCTTGGGATAGCATGGACAAAAGGGAACTGGAGAGATGTTGTTTGCACCCCTACTAGAGTAAAAGAATACAACAAGCTACACTTTTTTGTCTAGAAAAAGGCAAGCAACAACATAGACAGTCCTTGGTTCTTATATTTTCTTAGCAACATTATAGGGACAGCTACATCTTCTTACTAGGTGGGTAAAAGAAATGCCCATGCTGGGTCACGGCAAAGAATGTCTGACCTGCCTCACCTGGGATGGTGGGAAGGGAACTGGCTGGATCAAAAACCATGCTAAGCACCAAAATGTGCATTGTCATGATAGAATCAAGTAACTTTAAAATACAGTGGAGCAGAATAGCTGTTGAAGCTTTTACTTTTATTTTGAAAGTAAACAGAATGCTCAGTTTGATTTTCTTTGGTATTTTATACTATCAAAATTTCTCAGGGCTTGCATGCTTTGATAGAACCATGCTGGCATAGCAAGTACTGTACCACTTTGATTTTTCATTCTTTAACAATTTAGTAATATTTCTGTTACAATTCATTTTGCATTAAGGGTATTATTTTATGCAAACAAGACCAGGATTTGAATAATAAGTCTTGGAAAGCTGATCAACGGTCTCTTCAGCTTTTCAGACAATTGATTCTTCTAGATGAGAGAAATGCTCTCTGTGAAGTAAGCCTATATGAAATAGGTGATTATTGCTAGGTGATTTTTTAATAGTCCTATCTGCAAACAACAGTGAAGAAGAAATTTCTACATACTACAGAAATGTGTAGAGAATATTATTAACTATTGATTACTGATTCACTGTTGAAATTCAGTGAGCAGTGATGCTTTGGTCTTTACATCAGACTTTTAATGGTATTTTTGTACTCTGTATAGTTTTGTTTGAGTAATAAATTCGTGATGAAGCAGACTTTGTCAAATAGTGGCCATTTAAGTATGTACTGGAACCCACATTGGCTTTCAGGTAGAATTCCTTCCTGTTGGTTTCAGAGCCAACAGGAGTACCACAGACATGGTATTTGTTCTCAGGCAACTGCAAGAGAAGTGTAGGGAACAGAACAAAGGTCTCTATGTAACCTTTGTTGACCTCACCAAGGCTTTCGATACTGTGAGCAGAAAAGGTCTATGGCAGATTTTGGAACGCTTAGGCTGTCCCCCCAAGTTCCTTAAAATGATCATCTCACTCCATGAGGATCAGCACGGCCAAGTCAGATATGGGGATGCACTTTTTGAGCCCTTTCTAATAACCAATGGTGTGAAACAAGGCTGCATCCTTGCACCAACTTTATTCACAATCTTTCTTAGCATGATGCTCCAAAGCACCACGGTAGACCTCAATGATCAGGACGGTATCTACATTTGATACCGTACTGATGGAAGCCTTTTCAGCCTAAAGCGACTGAAGGCTCACACCAAGACCTTAAACCATCTTGTCCAGGAGCTGCTTTATGCTGATGACGCCACCCTTGTCACCCACACAGAAGCAGCTCTGCAACGTTTAATATCCTGCTTTGCAGATGCTACTGAGCTCTTTGGGCTGGAAGTCAGCTTAAAGAAGACAGAAGTTCTCCATCAGCCTGCATCTCAGGAAGTCTTCCCTCATCCCCATATCACCATTGGCCAATCAGAGCTCAAATCAGTCCAGCAGTTTAATTACCTAGGTAGCCTCATCTCCTCAGATGGTAAGATTGACGGAGAGATAGACAACAGGTTAGCAAAGGCATATAGTGCCTTCAGAAAACTCCATAATAGAGTATAGCATAATAAACACTTGAAGAAAAGTACCAAGATCAGTGTTTACAGAGCCATAGTGCTGTCTACTCTCTTATACAGTTCCGAATCATGGGTCATCTACCGCCACCACCTGTGTCTCTTAGAACGGTTCCATCAACGCTGTCTCCATACAATGCTAAACATCCACTGGTCAGATTATGTGACCAGTACATCTGTTCTAGAGCAAGCAGCAGTCACAAGTATTGAGGCCATGTTACTGAGAACACAGCTACGCTGGGCAGGACACGTCTCCAGGATGAAGGACCACTGCCTCCCTAAGATCTTGCTTTATGGTGAACTTGCCACCAGCTGCCACAAGAGAGGAGCCCCGAAGAAAAGATACAAGTACTCCCTGAAACAACATCTCAGCCTTGGCCATATTGATCAACATAACTGGTCTACTCTGGCCTCAAATCGGGAGGCCTGGAGACACACCATCTATAACGCTGCTGCTTCCTTTGAGAAAGCACACAGGATCACTCTTGAGGAGAAAAGACAACGCAGAAAGAATCATGTCTTGCAGAATATACCACCTAAGGAGTCTTTCTGCTGTGCCTTTTGCAACCGGACGTGCCTGTCTTGTATTGGCCTTTTTAGCCACCAGCGCACTTGTAGCAAACATGGGTAGAGCCCTTCCCAGATCTTCGTTCGCGAAGCCCAGCCGTGATGATGAAGTATGTACTGGCTATTTTGTGATGTACATAACCTACATGAACTTCCCTCTTACTCATAGTACAAGATAGAAGTTGTTCCATGTCAACAGCAAGAGAAGAAAAGAGGACTGATAGAGCTGAATTAGGTAGAATGACCAGCCAGTCCCTTCTTCTGTTTCAGTTATGTTTTGCCTCACTTCAGAGATTTGAAAAGTTTAATGCCTTCATTTACCCTTGGCTTCTTGGTCAGAGGTTTTAGGTAGCAGATAGAATGAAGACTTCTGAATACTACTCTACTTCTACTACTTCTTCCTTTCTCTCAAATACCAAGTTCTTCAGTGGGCCTTGGTGGACATAAGTCATGACTTGTAATTCCCAGTGCTGTTCTGTCAGTCAAGATCTTGCTGGGTAGTTATACAAGGGACTCTCTCTCATACCTCTGCATTACAGAGAGGTCATTTTTGAAAAAAAAAAAAAAAAAAAAAAAGAGGGAGAAAGAGATAATGGATGCATTTGTGTGGATACAGGAATGATTTAAGAAGTGGATTCTCAAAATATTTCTCCTTCAGCCTCCAACAAACCCAAAGAAAAGGTGCAGGAGAGTTTTTTCTGTTTACCTATGAAAATGGCGAACTATAACTATGACTGAAATGAAAGTGTGGCAACATTTGGCAAACTTGCAACAAACATAATTCCCTAAAAGTATTTCAGTTTTTTATTTGATAAAACTAGTGCTACAATTTGTGGGAAACGTAACTCTTTAAGAAGTTGTTTACAAATTTTACTTGTATGGATTTTGGGTTTACTTCTCTCTCTTTTTTTTTTTTTAATAAAATCTCTGTGTATGAAAACAAACTTTCTTCATAAGTACCTTTATAAGCTCTGTGGATAAATCTTATCTGGTAGGACTGGTTTGATTTCCTTGACAGAATAAAAAGAAACACATTCAGTTAGTAGCGGGATTTTTAGTACAGCTTTTGTCCAAAATTGCTTGAGTTTCCCTTCTGCACATCATTAAATGCAGAAATTAAGCTGTGCTCAGTCCATAACAGCACACCTTCAATTTAGTTATTTCACTACTGTGTACTGTGATGTTGTCTGTTTTAATACAGAAGCTGTTGTCACCACTCGATCATCCATGGAACTTTGCATGTTTCTCAGTGGTGCAAATTGCACTCATTTTTGATCATATTTAAAGTGGCTTAGTAAGATGCTACTAAGAGGTCTATGTGTAGTATGTAGGCCTAAATTATTTAATGTATGAAGGAATGGGTAGGTGTCACCACAAAAATTTGAACCATGAACGCGTAAGGGAAAAAAAGAAAGCTTCCTCATATGGTATTATGTTAATGGTTCTTGCACAAATTATATTTTTATGTCTTGAAATTCCTTCTTAATCTCAAGAGAAGTCAAAGCAAATGGTTTAATTTATTTTTTCAGGAACTGCAGTTTGAGAGACTGACTCGAGAACTTGAGGCTGAACGTCAGATTGTAGCTAGCCAGCTGGAGAGATGTAAACTTGGATCAGAAACTGGAAGCATGAGCAGCATTAGGTAATGTACGAATTGTTAATTTCTTTAGTAAATTTTGTCTCTGTTATGGATTACCACCAAGAACAAGCTGGATAATCTTTTTGTAAAAAAAAAAAATGTACATCAGAGAGCATGAGATTTTAGTAGAGTTTGAAAATTTGCATTTCGACCTGCTTTATAAAAAGAAAACTTCATGCAATTTTGTATCTTGTGTGTCCAGTAACAAAATAGTTGTCACATTTGGAATTCATTGATTTGCTGAAGTCTGAATGAATTATCAGCAAAACTCCTTTTCTACCACCAATACAGCTGTAATTTTCAGCCAAAGCTTTTTAGCTTCATATTTGCATAGATGTATTGATAAGTTTTGTAAACCTGTTTAATCATAATTTCATCATTCATAGTATTAAAAGGTTTAGAGTGAATTACTTAAAGCTGCTGAACTCACATCAAAATATAATGATATGTGTTACTCTTTCTTTTACACACTGGTTTTCTTCAATATAAGAAATCATTCTGGTACATTGTTTGGAGGATGGCAAGTTTATTTAAGAATTATAACAAAAGGAAACTGATCTCTTGGTCAGTTTAGTGGGACTTTGCATTTTTGAGCTTCTTGATACTGTGTTTTCTCAGTGAACCTAATAAATGAAAAGATGGTGGTACTTGAGTTTCAAGGATCAAGGAAAAAATCATGTTGTATAGGCCTGTGCTTTTTTTTATCAATGGAAATATGAAATCTGATATCTTTTGAATACATAATGTTAAGTATAACATGCCAAGCCCGGTATCAAGTTTTGTATGATAATAATAGAAAAAATACAAAAAGTATTGATCACTACTGAAAGAAACTGTCTTTCAGTTTAAGCAATTCAAACTAAATAAATGATTGTTTTCCATGATAAGTAGAAAATAATTATTCAGTAGAATGCCAAAGTTGTAAGAGAAATACTGAATGTAAATTAAAATGGCAGAAGTCAGAAAAATTACTAATTCAGCAGAAGCTGTACATGAAGTTGACTTTAAGTATCCTTAATAAATCAGGTGAGAAGTCCTTAAGGTAAAATCTTCTTTTATATAATCTTTCTCACCATCTAGACTTTTTAACATTAGAGAAACTGTATTACTTAGAATTATTTAAGCACAGAATAGCTAATATTTGGCAATGTAGTACAGTACTATATTTGCATGTCAGGTACATTTCCCGAGGACTTTAAATTTTATATGTGGTATGACTGCATTTCAAGAAAGCTATGTCTGAACAGTGTTTGAGTAATACTGAACTATGTTTAAATAATGCTGTTATTTTAGAATTATTCCAGACAGTGATACAGATGTTGGGAGATTTCTCGTTGGGAAGGAAATGTTTTGTTGTTGAACTTTTTTCCTATTGATAAAGCTATACTTTCGAGTTATCAGTGATATCAAGGTCACTTAGCTGACTCTGAGTGAGATCTGACACTCCAATTATTCAAGAAGTTTAATAATTTGACTACTAATCTGTGTGTAGAATAAGCTAGTACCTGGAATAACAGAGGCTATTTTGTGCAAATTTTACATCTGTAATTTGCCCCAGAAATGTTTTACTTATGAGCAGGCCATTTCAACTTAAAACATTTTAAAAACTACTTGAAATACCGTGGTTCAGAAGAGAAGATTGAAAGCTTACAATTAGATAGCAGTCCTTAGACTTGGCAAGTGATGTAAAAGGGAAATCAGTAATAATCTAATATTGTTTGATTTGGGTTGCTGTTTATCCCATACATATTAAATAAGCAATTTTCTGTCCTAAAAATTGTAAATCATTATGAGAGGAGCTTAGAACTAATACAAACATTAAGTGAAGTCAAATATATGTCTGACTGTTGTACTGACTTTCCAGTGCTCATCCAGATTGGAGAATGTTTCTTTGATGTTTTATTCTTTGACATATCTTTGACATGTAATATTTTTTTTATAAGATTGGGGACTATATTCACTAGGAATTGTATCAAAAAGGACTTGAGTGCATTCTTTTCAGGAACAGATTCTTGACTGTGAACCAAAGGCAGAATCAATGGCTTCTGATAAAGCTGAATAAAATGCTTAGACCATGAAGTAGGACAGCTCTTCCCTTCCACAGTGTTTCTCTGTTGACAAACTCTGAGCAGATCGTTATTCAGCCACATTCCATAAGGAGCCAAGTCACACTCTATACTGCTCCATTCCCTTGGCTGAGGTGTATATTCCTTCAGGGCCAGATTTATCAGTCTTTCAGTTGCTTTAGTATGGGGGGGGTAATTAGATCCTTGCTTTAGTATGGGGGGGTAATTAGATCCCAGCATATCTTTAGAGATCTTCAGTCTCTGATAATTTTAAGAACTGTATTAAAGAACTGTACTTACTTGTTAATAAATCCTTAAAGTTTTAAAATAAGTTTCTGTTTGATATTCTTTATGACTGTTTTATGTGAGCAGTATGTGTTTGTTTATAGACTGGCATTTGTGCATGAGTGCCTGAAGAAACATGCTAAAGTTTCTGTATTTTGCAGAATAGCAAAAACATAATATAATAAACTGAATAAAATGGAAAGCATACCTGCTTTGAATACGCTTTCTGCAATGTAGTTCTCTCTCTTAGAAATGCATGTTATTCACACTTTATGACCAGGAAGGTGATGTTTTCCTTAGGAGGATACAATTTTTGCAAATTCACTGAAAAAAAGTACAGCAAGTCTAAATGATAAACCCATAAGATCTTTCATTTCAAGAAAATTGAAGAAATAGATGGAATGCACTGTGATATAGGTAGACAGTTGGTCAAGTAAATAAAATTGCAATTGCAGTTTTCCTGTACAGCTGTCAGTGTTAGATCTTAGTTAGGCTACTTACTGTACAAGTATATACAGTAGTCTTTGTAGATATTTAATATTAATGATTGATGAATCTGGTAGCCTAGGGAGGTGAGGCTGCCACAGCCTAGACCTACATAGACTGGAGAAGTGGGCTTTTATCATGTATGAAAATGCCAAGTGTAGTTTTTTTGTACTTACTTTTTTATGTATAAGCCAGTAGCGTGGCTATGTTTAAAAGGATTTTTAAAAGTGATATTTTTTTAAGAAGATAGGCATTTCACCAATAGGCAGAGAAGATTTTATTAAACTTATGACAGTAAATGCTGTAGCTCAAAATTCATCTCATTCTGCAATGTGTGTTTGCTTAGTTGTTCAGAAGCTCAGTAAGCTTTAAGTTTTGTCACAGATTGTTGCTGATCACTGTGAATTGTATAAAGCTTAACAAGGCACACTTGGATGAACTTTTGTCAACTGAATTAATAAAAAAGTTCATCTGAAATAAAATGAAAAACAGCAGTAAAAGCATGCAGGTTTTTGAAAAAGTAAGTTTCTGAAAACATTCCTCGCAAATTCTACGTGTCTCAGTAATTAGCTGTGGTAAAACAACATTTAATAGTGGTTTTCCCCCTATTATCTTACCATGATTTTGTGTTGCTATAAGTGACCAGGTCAGGTGGAACCCTTCAGAAAGATGCAGAGATTTTTCCACTCCTGAAGAGCGTTTTGTCAATGTTGAGCATGCTACTATATATTTCCAGATCTTTTATAAAGCTTATCATGTGTGATTGGGCTTGTGGTAAAACAGAATATCCTAGTAAAAATATGTTTTCGAGGTAGTAGAGGTAAAAACCCCCTGCCATTCTTGACTATTAAACCTATTTTTGGTTATAATGCTATTAAACCAGCATGAAAATTAAATTAACTGGAAGAAAACGTTCAATTAGAACAAAATGGTGGGAAAATGTGCAAGACTTTGTTATAACAGAATGTTTTCATTGAAGTGTTTGCATTATTTGAGTTCTTTGGTATATCTAGAAGGCATAAATTCCAAAAAATACCTTTAAAAACCACCACCACCAAAAATAAAATAAAGACAACAAAAGAAAGCCAGAGAGGTTTTCTTAGAAAAAAGTTAAAAAGATGGTATTTTTCTTACATTCAAAATCATTAAGGAGTTTATTTGGATAATCTCTGAAGAAAAGAATATGAAGCAGCCTTTGTCAGACCATAATTAAGAATGAAAAAATGTGGTTTGAATGCTTGACCACTCTAATAAAGTTGGTTTGTTTTGGTGGGGGATGAGAAGGAGTTGTTTGGAGACTTTTTAATTTTTTTCCATGTCAGTTTTCAGCCTATAGCTTAGCTAAGTTATTTAAGAATTCTTTCATCTTCTACAATGATCAAATTACCTACAACAAAAATTGTTGCTGGCTTGCTAGGTTGAGTTACTAGGGTTGCTAGCTGATGGATGTTAGTCACTGTGCTAATGTGTGTCCATGTTGGTAATAGCTGGAAATCAGCACTTCTGAAAATCAGTCTACTGATTTACAAGCTCAAACACAGCATTTAGGCACTTCTCATGAAGGGAAGCAGAGGGGCAGGTACCAATCTCTTCACTCTTGTGACAGTGACAGAACTCAAGGAAACAGATGAACCTGTGTCAGGGGAGGTTTATGTTGGGTATCGGGAAAAGGTTCTTCACCCAGAGGGTGGTTGGGCACTGGAACAAACTCCCCAGGGAAGTGGTCCCAGCACCAAGCCTGACAGAGTTCAAGGAACATTTGCACAACATTCTCAGGCACATGCTGTGATTCTTGGGGTGTCCTGCACAGGACCAAGGGTTGGAACTTGATGGTTGTGATGGGCCCCTTCCAACTCAGCATATTCTATGATTCTGAAATCCTGGAAATCAGGGTTTTGTGGGGTACAGTAAGTTGTCCAGAAGTAGAATGGGCAGATTCTGCTTGTTGTGATAACTGTTACGCTTTACCAAGCCTGATTTTCTCCACTAGTTTGACATCAATAGTTGATGTTCCTGGTGTTGTGTATACTATCACATGTAAGAGTGTTCGGGTCAGTGAAAATGTTTTAGAAGTCAGGGAAATACTGAGGTTAGTATTTTCAGTACTGCAGCGTCACCTTGTATTTTGTATCTCTTGATCTTTGGGTTGTGAGGTGTAGAGACCTC